GTGGTGGTGGTGGTGGTGGTGGTGGTGGTGGTGGTGGTGGTGATGATGTATGTATGTATGTATGTATGTGTGTGTGTTTCCCCTCTTTTGATTTGGTTGTCTGGGATTATTTATTCCCATGTTTTCTTGGGTGTGGTTAACCACCTTAGGTTGGAGTTTACCTTCTAGAACATTCTGTAGGGATGGATTTGTAGATAATTTTTTATTTCCAGATTCAATGTTTATTCTATTTCCACTTTCAGGTCTTGAACTCTTTTATTCCATTCCTTCCACTCTGTGTTTACAGATGTCTTTAAGGGATATATTCATTTCCTTCTTAAGGATCTCTATCATAGTCATAATGGCTGTTTTAAGACTTTTTTTGTGCTTCAGCTATGTTGGAATATCCAGGGTCTGCTGTAGTGTGGTTGCTGGGCTCTAGTGGAGACATATTGTCTGGCTGCAATTGATTGTGTTTTTATACTGTCAAAGTATCTAGGTTTGAGATGATTGTAATTCTAGGTGATGATATCTGATCTTGTCTTTGTTGGGTAGGTGTTTTTTTTTCCTTGATTTCTGTTTGCCCTCTCAAGTTCTTAGGAGAGAGCAGTAGCTTTTTTATTGTCTAGTGGGTAATTCTCCTGGGATATTTCCAGGTGTAGCCACTGGGGCTTCTAGGTAAAATGTAGTGGTATTTGCTTCTCCCATTGCTCCGCCCATTGCTCCACCCATGACCTTGGGCTAAAATGCCCAAGAGGTGGTTCTTCCTGCCTTCGTATGTGACCTCTTAAAAGGAGAGGAGAGAGGGGTCATGTGTTTCCTTCCTTTTTTTTAATGGTTTTTTTTTTTGAGACAAGGTTTCTCTGTGTGTAGCCCTGGCTTTCCTGGAACTCACTCTGTAGACCAGGCTGGCCTCGAACTCACAGAGATTCACCTGCCTCTGCCAAATGTTGGGATTAAATGCATGCACCACCACACCAGGCTTTTTTTTTTTTAATCCTGGTGTGATTGGACACTGAACAGCATGGGACTTGAACATCAGTCAGTGCTCTTAATCGCTGAGCCATCTCTCTCTCTACTCTTTTTAAGAGGTCAGGTACTAAGGCAAGAAGCACCTCCTCCTTAGGGCACATAGCCCAGGGTCATGGGCAGAGCAAATACCACTAGAGCAAAACGTGTTTCTAGGTATTGGGAACTGAGACAAGAACGTGGATGGGCTGGGGGGCGGGCTCAGAGGCTCTACAAGAGGGAGAAAAACATGGTGTTCCACCAAGATCTGCTTAGTTCCCTGGAAACAGGTTCAGAGATTGAGGAGAGGTCACAGTAGGTAGTCTGCTCCAGAACTATGAATGAGGCTAGGGCATTAATTTGGAGGAAAAGAAGCAAAGTGAAGATCTGAAGCTTGCCTACTTGCTTCTCTGTCAGGATTTGTTGGTGGATTTCCAGAGAGTGCCTGCTAGATTTGGGGCCTTTGATGACAGGATGAATGGGGAATAATTTTAGGGGAGAAAAGTTGTGTCATCCACTGGATATAGGAGCTAAGAGGAGTGAGAGCTGGGAATGAGACAAGGAGACTAGATTTGGAGGAGAGAAGGGGAGGTAAAGATCTGCAGTTAGCTTTCTTCCTTCCCTGGCTGGGGTGCAAGACAAGTCTTGCAACTCTCATAAAAGAAATTCTTAATTGGAGGCTTGCTTACAGTTTCAGAGGGTTAGTCCATGATCATCATGGCAGAGATTGTAGCAGCAGGCAGGCATGATGTTAGAGAAGCAGCTGAGATCTCACATCTGATCCATAAGTTTCTGGCAGAAAGACAGTGGGCCTGGCGTGGGTTTTTGAAGCCCCAAATCCCACCCCCACTGACACACCTCCTCCAACAAGCCCCCACCAGCTAATCCTTCCCAAACAGTTCCACTAACTGATCATTCTAACATGGAAGTCCATATTGGGCATTCGCGTTTAAATTATCACATCAGGAAATAGCTGAAAATACACCTCCTTTCTTCCTCAGCCTGTCACTTCCCAGTGAGAATGACAAGAGGCTGGTTATCTTAGACTAGAGCCTCTCTGTGGACCCTCCTTCGTTCCTTTAGCCCATACCTCCACACATCATTGTGGTGTCATTATCATGTCCTGTCATCTTCTCGGCCATGGGGATGATGCATGGAAGAGGCAGATGGATGCCACAGAAAGGATACAGAGCAGCAGAGATACACTGAGCAGCTGACTGTGCAGCTCAGATGGAAACAATTCCGGCAATCTCTTACACAGTATCTTTAAAGGTTGTGCCAAGTGCTTTCTTAACTGAGCTTTGTTAAGTGGCATGAGAGTCATTGCTAATCTGACAGTCTCTTCCCCAGACTCACACATCTCACACTGATGAAGACAGACAAGATGATAAGTAATTTAGTTTTAGTTTTCCACACCACACTATGTAGGAGAAAGGGGGACATAAGTCACAATGCCGAGTCAATATCAAATTGGCAAATAATGAGCCCACACTGGATAAAGGAGTGTCCCAAGCCTGAGCAGATGGCGGGACAGACTTGAGGGGTAGTTTCTCAGCAAGGCAAAGTATCAGCTGAACTGAGAAATAAAACTGAACCGGCATGCTCTGGATCCACCTCACAGACACCCTCACATGGATTCTGGGGCTATACCTTTATGCTCATGGAAAAATGTTCAATAAAAGAATCATGTTATATTGGTCTTTTTTTTTAATGTTGTATTTTTGAGACAAGTTCTCACATAGTATATACTGGCTTCAAACTTTCTGTGTGTTTCAGATAACCCTAACATTCTTAGCCTTCCGCTTTCACCTCCAGAGAGCTGGATTATGGATGATAATTTACGGCGATAAAATTCCAGGGGTAATGTCAAACCAAATGATATCTGCAGCATTGTCTAAGTGACATGTGTGGATGTCCTAACATATATCTTAATTCATAAATACATTTGCAGCTGAGTGGGCCAAGACAGGGGCACTTTTCTCAGCTTTCTACAATGAAGAATTTGCAAAGGGGTTCAATGCTGTCATTGTTTCAGGGAGGAGGTCAAAAGTATGTAACAGATCCCAATGGAGCCGGAATTAAAGACTGAAATGGGTGGTAGGAACCCACCTCAAATCCTCTTGAAGAGCGACGGGTGCACTTAACCACTGAAGCGTCATTCCAGCCCATCAACAACCAGTTTTTATTAAAGTTTTATTTTACTTCATGTATGTGTTTTGTCTGCATGTTTGTCTGTGAACCACATGTGTGCCTTATGTCTGTTGAGACCAGAGGAGGGCACCAGATCCATGGAACTGGAGTTACAGAAAGTTGAGGTGCCTTTGATGTGCTAAGAATCAAACCCATATCCTCTGGGAAAACAGCCAATATTCTTAAGCACTAAGCCATCTCTTAAGCCCCTCAATAATTATTATAGGACTAAGTGAATCGAGTCATGGAAACAAAAGTCAGAGAGGGCATGAATGGATTTAAAGACTCACTTATATACAAGTATAAAAGACTCTCTTTACTCTTAAAGATGAACCAGGCAGAAAGGGATCCCAAAAAGTATTTTATTCAAGTAAAATCAAGCAGAAGCATGAATATTGACACTTAGAGCATTTAAAACACTTCTAATTCAAAGCTATGGGAAGTTAAAAATTCATAATATCACAACAAAAACTATCAAGGCATCACGGGAGGTACAGTTGCTAAGGCTGGTGATAGACAACAGTTTCACAGTGCATTGCAATCCCAAATACCAGGCACAAGTAGATGAGTTAATGCCTAAACTAATCCACACTAAGAGATGGACTTTGTATTTGAAGGGGGGTGTTTTTTCTTTTTTTAAGACAAGTCTCTCTGTGTAGTCCTGGTTGCCCTAGAACTCACTATTTGGACCAGAATATCCTTGAACACATGGAGATCTGCCTATCTCTCACTCTCGTGTGCTGAGATTAAAGGTGTTTGCCACCATGCTTGGCAGTTTTATCTTATTAGGTGTGCTCCTCCATGGAGGAGACTATATCTCCCACTCTCCGCTTTCCTTCATTGCCATAGTTCTTTACAAACACACATTTTTAAAAATTATATAATATATTACATGAAACTCACTTTACCTTAAGGACCAACATAGGCTGGAAGTTAATGGATGGAAAAAGAGTCAGAAGGCAAGAAAGACCAAGGAAGAGGGTGCAGGGGGGCTCCTGACTGTGAAATCACATGTTTAAGCAAATTCTCAAGACAAATGTCTGACTCTAAATAGAGAATATTCTCCAGCAACAGTCTAGACCCATGGAACTCATGGGCCAATATGAGCTCTTGGTCTTCTTGGACACCAAGATGAAACTCAGTCCCCTTGGTTGTGTCCTCCTGGGGTTCTGAAGCTATCTGCGGACTTTTGCTTGCTGTAGCAAGCTTCTCCAATGATTGCCCCCAGGACCAGCAAGATTACCCCAGCCAGGGCCATGCAGACACCATTCCACACCTTGTAACTCTGGAGTGTGGAGCCTGAAAGGGGAAAGACAAGAATGAGTGGTCATTCTCTGGTGGACAAGACCCAGCCTAGGAATCCTGAAACAAGAGTTACTTATATACTTTGGGGTTGGAAGCCATCACCATAGACATCACTTGCCTGTTGTGGGAGCTGATTCTATAAGAAAATAGTAAATCTCATAGTGTCTGCCAAGGACTCAAAAGAAAGGGATGAAAAAAATGTGAAGCTTCTAGTTCCCTTTGGGCTGACCTTGGCATCCTGAGTCCTTTGCCTGACTCCCATCATTTGTGATACCCCTGTACTCCTCACTTTGGTTCTAATTGTCCTCATTCCAGCACCCTTGGATCACTGGGTGCACACCCAGGCTCTCACACAGTGAGAAATGGGTCCCAGGGGCAGATCCAACTGGAAAATTTACACATGCAAGAGATTAGACTCAGCTATGAGTCGGAAGGCCAAGTTACCCCTTTGTGTGCCTCAAATGTCCAAAGAGTAAACTGGGGATAAACTTGCCTGATATCTTTAAAACACACACACACACAGAGAGGGAGGGAGAGAGAGAGAGAGAGAGAGAGAGAGAGAGAGAGAGAGAGAGACTGCAGGGCTCTATAAAAACTGATTAGCAAAGGTGGATGCATTGGATGGTCATTGCCATCCCCTGTAACCAGGTCCCTGGCCTGGACTGGATATAAGGGAAGAGCTTGGAAATGTCATGGTCCATGGTGTCTCTGCTCTGTTCATCCACCCCTTCATCTCTGTCCACTACAGGTCTTCCATCCTCCATCTCATGTCTGAAGTCTTGCTTGGTATCATTAATATGGATGACATTAGGAAGACTGTCTTTCCTCCCTGAGGCAAGAAGCATGAGTCTTTTTAGCCTTTCCCTTAGTATTGCCCCTCCATCCATACTGTGTCAAGTGCTGAGTGTACAGTGAGGAGGACAGGATCCAACTGTCTGGGTGGGTCCCATGGGGGATTGCAGACCCACTGCATCCCTTTGCACTGACTTTCTGTACTGCTAATGGTCAGTAAGTTAGAAATGGTGGTTATACATAAAGTATTGAGGTGAGAATTTGAACCTAATGTTACCCTTCTTTTTCTCCCCACCCTTGACCTCCCTTTCCTTATATTTGCTCTCGCCTTAAACTAAATTTGAATGGTATTAATAATGTTAGAGGGATAAAGTAAGATTGGAATCTACCCAGAGTAGGGAACAAGCCCACCCAGAGTGGACACCACTGAACTTATCACATGGACACGGAGGCAGAGTTGGTAATAAGGGGTTGATGGGGGTCAGCCTGACCTCTCCCTTGTCTGGAAACACTTTCCTGCTCTGAGGCAGGATCCTCTAAAGGGTCTGTGATGTTGATATCTGTTTCCCTAATGAACACATACGACATTTCTTTATATCTTCATAGTCTTCACGGCATTGATCATATTTTAAAATTTTGTTTATTTATCTGCTAGAAATGAATACAGATACATAAACACATAGATATAAAAGCCTGAAAACCCCGGACTTAGTAAAGAGGAAAAATAATAGCAGGAAGTCAAGTTCTTTCTATTACCACCTACAATGGTCCCTTTACTCCCATCTGCCCCCTTTCTGGGCACTTTTAATTACAGATGACCCATCTAGAATCCATAAATGGAAAGACCCTTAGCATATGGATGAAATACTTCCTCTTCCCATTTGGAAACACTTCCACAACCTAGCCAGACTTTTTCTAAGGACACCCATGGATGAGGGAGGCTCCTTTGCTGGACACAGTCAGGAAGCTCTGGATGATGGCATTATCTTGAGAGTTACTGTATCACCTAGATAATAGGGTCATGTCTGTGCTCCTGGATAAACTTGATAGATGCCCCCAAGGCCTGGGTAATGGGTCATCCCTAAACACACAGGATATTTGAGTCACAGCAGTTGAAGAGAACTGGGGAAAAGATTTTTAAACCAAGAATGACCCCATCTTTTCCTGATGTGGGCCAGACATTTGGAGCTGACCACATATAGGGAAAGGACCATCTCACTCCTAAGATTCAAAGTACAATTCAGTTCTGCTCAAAGGCCATCCCTGGACCGTGTGACATCTTCAGTGGAAAGAGACCACACCAGAAAGCACATATAACTGGGCCTTCTATGGGCTCTGGTTCAGTGGAGAAAAAAGGATAGTACCATGCCAGTGAAGAGTAAAGCATTCCACTGAAGAGAGTCAGTTCCCCTTACCATGTCTGAACCCCAATCCCTAACCAGCTAGAAAAATTAGTTGTGTACTCAGTCCATTATAGAACTGAGTGTAGACAATCAAGGTGATGAGTACAGATAGAGCTTCAGAGGCCTGGGAACAAACCTGGGGTAACTTCTGTGATTGTAGCAGAGGCTGGGGTGGTGTCCTCATGAATGACCTCCAGAACCAAGGTCTCACTGCGTGGAGACCAGGTGTTCTTTACCTCATAGAGACATCTATAGTGTCCGACAGTGTCTTTACTCACTCTACCAAGGTAGAACCTGGCTTCTGTCTTAGAAGAAGAGGAGTTTATCACATCTATGATTCTGAGATTTTCCTTCTCCAGGCGGAACCGATCAAACCCAACAGGGCTCTTGCACATGATGACCACTGGTATCCCTCTAGGTAGCACATTGCCTGGTTCAGTAAAGATGTAGGGTCTGGGTAGGTGCCCTAGGAGGAAGCAGAGTGGGATTCTGTGTACAGGATGGGGACATTTTTCTCTTTTCATGTAAAGGGTGGGAAGGAAATAACACAAGACCCACATCCTTCACCACATCTGTGCTCCACTTCCCACTTGCAACACGGCACTGCTTAGCTGGTGTTTCATGAGATCCGTGGTGATATTTGAGAAGCCCAGAGTCATGCTGTGCAGCTGCATGATCCTCTTTATGCTAAAGAGATGGAGCCTTGCTGGGAGAGACCTTCAAAAATTCATAAATGTCTTTGCTCTCTGGAAACTGTGCAAACACATGTGATGGTTGGAGCTGCAGTGACATTGTATGTTAAAAGAGTAGTTCAATGTGGGTGGCCAAGAAAACAGACTGGGACGAAAGCTCTATCTCTGGGGATCTGCCGGTGCTATCGCAGGACCACTGTTGAAGCTTTGGCTTTAGGAGGAAGGTAACTGGCAAGGGAGGTAGGCAAAGAAGAGAACTCTTATGGCCAAGTTAGCTAGATTCTGGTTTTAATAAATGATGGTGAACATCAGAGCAAATTAAAGGAGACTTTTCATTAGCTTACATGATACCAAAGACCAAGATGAAAAAATCAGATATGTCTGGATAAGAAACCTGCAAAGTTTAGAGGATGTTGGATGAGGAGATTAAAGTGTGATCGCTATATGGCTTAAAGTGGGTTATGATCCTTCCTCAAATCCACATGACTCTCGTCTAGTGAGGTCATTGACGGGGATGGGTTAGAATCCCACAGATATAACTCACCATCCTGCATGTGGGTCGGCTGGCCCAGGCAGATCACTGAAAGAGAAATCCCAGTGAGAAAAACATTCACTGCTCAAGTTCCTTCAGCTGGGGTCATGGGTCAGTGAATAAGGGTGGCATGAAAGCTCCAAACTCTCAATGTTGCCTCTCAATCAGGCAATCTCCTCCTGTAGGATCTTAACAAGACCAAAGGGACCTCACCATCAACCCCCCTGTACCCACTCTGCCCCCAATTTTTATTATACACTGGAGATCTTAGGTGTCCTCCTGTTTGGCTTAGAACATTAGGCTGATGATTAGAACAAAAGATGCCTGTGGGCCTGAATGCCCCTCAGATATTTGGCCCTCCTGGGCTAGAAAGTGAATGGGATCTTAGACCTGTGTCTCCCACTCTTCCTGTTTCTCTAATCTCTCTTCATTCACATACTCACTGAGGACCAGGATGGAGATGGAATGCAACGGAAACATGGTCCAGTGTCTCAGGCTGCTCTGTGTCTGCCCTGTGGTAAGAGAACAGACCCTTCAGTCAGACAGAGTAGACTTACGGGACTATATATATATATATCAGGAAGGAAGGGGCTGAGTTCTGGATCCCATTTGAACTTCCCCAAGTGAGTTAAAGCAATTCTTGGTTTCATGTATTGATGTATTGCACAAGTAGGCTGAAGCAATGTCTGTATTAAACTTATGTACTGCTGACTTGTTGTAGCTGAATATATAAATGATGCATTGTTACATAAATAATCAAAACTATCTTGATATGTTGATGGAGGGTAAAATAAAAAAGGACTGATGATGAATGAGTGATGAATCATTGGAGAGAGGAGTGATGAATGGAAAGGTGAATAATGATGTATGTATGTATGTATGTATGTATGTATGTATGTATGTGCATGTTGATGGATAGATATGATGGTGTTTGCATGGATAGCTGGATTGAGAGATGTGTGGGTGGATGAATGGAAGATGATTGATGCATGGCGGTTTGGATGAGGGATGGATGGATAGGGACAAAACCTTCCTGTCTAAACTCTAAAAATACTCATGTTTCTCATGTGATACATTTTTCTCTCTATCATGCAAAAGGAAAACTAAACATTTTATTTATGACTGAATATATTATCATACCTATCATGTTAAGTAAAAGAAGCCAGAAAGACAAGTACCACATGATTTTGTTCACTTATGTAATCAAGGAAAAAAGACATAAAAAAGTATTTGTATTATTAGGGAGAAGTGGATGGGAGGGGGAATAATGAGAGCAGTGGGGTGAATATGATAAAAGTCTGTTATATGTGTGGATGAAAGCGTCATAACAAAATCCATTACTTGTACAATTAATAGGTGACAATTAAACGTATTCTTTCATCTAACACATTTGCGTATCACAGGGGTATTAGACACATGAAGAACTCATTCCTGGTTTACATTTTGTTCTCTAAGATGAGTTCCCCCTGGGTCAGTTTCCTGGCCCTCCATCCTTCCCACTCATTTAACCAAAGATAGAGGCTGTGACCTGTAGCACAAATTCTAATTGGTCTTAATAAACACACAGAGTTAGATAACAGAAAGCTGAAAGATCAGAGTAGCAGAGCATCCAGCCACTAGAAAGACTTCTTACCTCTAGGAATCCTCAGACCAAAAGGGGTGAGATCATGTCTCTGCGCGTCCTCAAACTGAATGGGTTGAGCTCCTGACTCCACCCACCTTATATTCCTGTCTTGACCTCCCTAGTGCTTAGATTAAAGCTGTAAGCCACCACCACCACCACCACCACCTGGTTCTGTTTTTCTTTTACAATCACATGTGGCCCAGGGTGGCCTTGAACTCCTGATCTTCCTACTTCCTCCTCCCAAGTGCTGGGATTAAAGGTGGGTGCCATCACTACCTGACCCCTCTGATTAACTAGTGGCTAGCTCTGCCCTTTGATCTTCAGGCAAGCTTTATTTGTTAGAGCATGAGCAAAACATCACCACAGTGACTATCAAATACCCTTATTACCAGCGGTGTGCCATTGTCTAGGGACACCAATGCACTGAGACTCGACTGAGCGTGTGCTGATGGGAAGAGCTCTTTGGACTGTCCGATTTAAAAACACCCAGATAGATCTGATGCAATGGTGGCTTCTTATCTATGACCATGCTGGGCCTCCTGCTGTCCATTTATAAAACAGAACAAGAGCTCAGTGTGTGCAGCAGGGTGACCTTGTAGCTTCATCCCCCAACAACTTTGAGTCACCCATCAATTCCTTCTTTTTCTTTTTTGAGAGACTGCCTCTGCTTTCTTCCCATGGTCCTCATGTCCAAGATGCCTGAGGTCTCAGTGTTGCCACTAAGATATGAGGTCTTCTTTCACTGGTCTCAGTCCAATGGTCTGCTGTCCCTGCTTTCTCATTTTCCTCAAACCTGGAGATACTTCTCAATAGGTGAACCTTCACTTCATCGCAGTGGTACACGGGTCTGTGAGCATCTGCACCTGCCTGTAGACAGATGTCATTTCTCATTCAAGGAGCCCAGTGATGCCCTCTGGAGATCATCCCTTACATGCCTCCAGGGAACTGGGACTTGGGGCTTCAGGTGCATGCTTTTCTCCCCTGCCTACTTGAACCCGGCCAAGGTGCTCTAGCCTAGCATCACCTGTAGAGGGCACTCCAATGAGAGCACGAGGAACGTCCTCTCTGGACTTGGGAGCTGCCTGTATCTTGGTCCATGTGTCAAGTGGCTGGAGGTTGGAGAAGAAAATGCCAAAACGAAGTTTGTTTTAATCTTATGCACCATCCTTGCTCCTTATTCCTTCCCTTACTCCCTTTCTCCCCCTCCTCCCCTCCTCTCCTTCTCTTCTTTCCTTCTTCTCTCCCTCCCTCCTTCCGTCCCTCGAAAAAAGGAACCTTTTCTCCTTGTGTGTAATTTCTCTCCTGCCTTCCCCAGCAGCCTTGCTACTTGCTTGCACTGGCCACACTGAGCGAGAGATGGTTCTGCTCAGCATTTGTGCTCTGGCGGGAGCTGGGGCTCCACGGGTCCTCTCTGTCCACGTTGTTGTCTCTGCTAAGAGCAACTCTGACACCTGGGCACCTCTGCCCACGTGACTTTGGAAGAACCCACAAGGATCACGTTGAAAATTAATGACAAATAGACACAGAAAGTTGGTGAAGGTTGTGAGGCAGGCAGACATCACAGAATCGCGCGGAGATACAGAAGCAGGTTACTAGCAATAGGAGGTTGAAAAGTGGCTACCTAGAGAAAGGAAACCTGAGAGCAGGAAAAACAGTAACACAGTATAGATGAAAGTCTTTGGAGCTGGGCACCTACCTCTGAGCCTGAAGGGAGGCGCCCAGCAAAAAAGCACAGCCTGTCTGGTTTGGGACAGCCTGACACCCTGCAGCTGGGGACCCTAAGATCTGCCTTCTTTAGTGACCTGCTCATACCATGATCCCTTGTGTTCCCACAGCCGGGGAGAGGGCTGTGCAGCGTGGGGAAGGACACAGAAGATTATGGCCTAATGGATAAGATATTTATATGTTTGTTTATTATTATCTAGAGAAGTCTCTCTGTGTGTAGCCTTGGCTATCGTGGAACTCACCATGTAGGTAAAGCTGGCTTTGAATTCACAGAGATCCACTTGCCTCTGTTTCCCAAGTGCTGGGATTAAACGCATGGACCATCACACCTGCAATTTTAAACTATGTTTCTTCACATACATGACTAGTATTCTAGTCTCTTTTCTGCTCTTTTAATTATGTTTTCTTTTATTGATATTTATTTTCTTATTTGTTCATTTATGAAGCACAGTACATTGTGATATTTACTTAATTATGTATTCAATGTATTCATTTTATTTTATGTGAGAGTGTTTTGCCTGCATGTATGTCTGTGCACCACCTGCATGCTAGGTGCCTGCAAAAAATCAGAAAATGGTATCAAAGCCCATGGAATCGAACTTAGAAATGGTTCTGAGGCACCATGTGGATGCTAAGAATCAAACTCAGGTCCTCTACAAGACCAGCCAGTGCTCTTAACCTCTGAGCCATCTCCCCAGCTCAGGTTATGATGATTTTATGTGTGTATGTTAGCAGTTCTACCTCTCTGGATCCTGCCAAAGTGACACTCTCCAATTTTCCCTTCAAGAGAGGATTTCTTCTTATTGGGCTCTTTTTGGGGGAAGGATGTTTGTTTTAACACAAACACATGGAAATTATTTTCTTTTTGTTGTTGTTGTTTGTTTTGTGTGTGTGTGTGTGTGTGTGTGTGTGTGTGTGTGTGTGTTCATTAAAGCCCAGAGTATGTTTTGAAGATGCACCATCAAGATGAGATACTCTCACCCCCTAGTGGTCTTCTGAAATTTTTACTTTTCATTTGTTTTATTTATTTATTATTTTCATTTTACACACCATCCCCAGTGCCCCCTCCCTCTCCTTCTCCTGTCCCCATCCCCCATTCACTCCTCAGAGGGAGTAAGGCCTCCCCTGGGTAGTCAACAAAGTCTGGCATACCAAATTGAGGCAGAGCCCAGCCTCTCCCTGCTGCATCAAGACTGAGCAAGGTATCCCACCATAGGAGATGGGCTCCAAAAAGACAGTTTATGTACCTGGTATAAGTCCTGGTCCCACAAACAGAGGGGATGGGATGGAGAATATGAGGGATCGAGATGGCCAATCTGGGGGGCAGGGGGATGGAGAGGGAGAGCAATGAATGGGATATCTTGATAGAGCCATTATGGGCAAGAGAGAAACCAGGTGCTAGGGAAATTGCCAGGATTCCACAAGGATGACCCCGACCCCAAGACTCCTAGCAACAGTGGAGAGAGTGCCTGAACTGGCCTTCCTCTGTAATCAGATTGGTGACTGCCCTGTCATCATAGAATCTACATTCAGTAACTGATGGAAACAGATGCAGTGATCCACAGCCAAGCACCAGGCCAAGTTCCTGGAGAACAGTTGAAGAGAGGGAGAAGGAATCATAGGAGCAAGGGGGGCTCAAGATCATGATGGGGAAACCTTACAGACAGCTGACCCGAGCTAGGGGAAGCTCATAGACTCTGGATTGACGGCTGGGGAACCTGCATGGGACCGAACTAGGCCCGCTGAATGTGGGTTGTTTTTTATTTTAACAAAATAAAATATAATATAAAGCAAAAACATCTCATGTAGACTGGACAAGCCAAATCAACAGAAGGAAAAGAGCCCAAGAGAAGGGACAAGAATCAAAGACCCCCTCGTTCATTCACCCGGGAGACTGATAAAAACACTAAGCTGAAAGCCATCATAAATATGCAGAGGACCTGATACAAACCTCCTCAGGCCCTGTGCATGCAGCTTCAGTCTCTGTAAGTTCATGGGAGTATCTTTCTTATTTTTTTTCAATCTTTTTTTTAAGATTTATTTATTTATTATGTATATTATGTATGTATATAGAAGAGGGCACCAGATCTCATTACAGATGGTTGTGAGCCACCATGTGGTTGCTGGGAATTGAACTCAGGACCTCTGGAAGAGCAGTCAGTGCT